GATTCAATATTGCTGGAAAGATCTTTGGCCTTCATAGCCAATAGATTAAAAGAAAAATGCAAATTTGTGATAACTAGATCAAAATAAACATATATTTAACTTAAATATTTTTGTAATGATGTGTAAATATTCATTAATCTTTTCTTTGTTTATACATATGTAATGACTTGCTCAGGGCTTGTCTTAAAGCACCCAGACTCTCCCATTGTTTCAAGAGTCTTCATTAAACTGTCAGCTGAGGCTTGTAGCCTCTGGCTTCAGTTATGTTTTTTACCAGGATTAAATTAAAGAATATGAGGATTTATATTGTTTTTCTTTCCACATTGATAGGGTCCCATAGCTAAGTAGTGTGAAAAAAATTAAAGTGCAGAAACACATGTGGTGTTTCTATCACATCCTATCTCTTCACTGCCGTGTGTAAAACATTTCTGGCATTTTGTAATATACACACATATTTTAAAGTGTATATTTTTGCAATTGGTTTACATCATCTAAATTAAATTTCTCATTCTGTGTTTTAAATTTAAATTTACTTGAGATGATTTAGTTCATCATAAATTTAAAACGTCAAGTAAGTTCATCACAAATTTACTCAAAATGTCCATAATGACATAACATTGGCCCAATTTATGCATATTTTAATGTATCCTGATTAAATCCTTGAAGTCTAAAGTCAATGTTCTTCTCTGAGGTTTCTGTTCATTGACTTAGACATTCACTGGTGATCTCTTCTTTCTCTGATCTTCTCTGGTGCTTATCATTCATAACATTTTTAGAAAATGTACCCATCTTTTGCTAAGATAGGTCTTGTCCCTCTCCAGGGGTGGGGAACCATTTTTCTGCCAAGGGCCATTGGATATTTATAACATCATTCGTGGGCCATACAAAATTATCGACTTAAAAATTAGCCTGTTATATTTGGTCAAACATTTAATTAACTCACCCCTAATGTGATGGCTGGAACTGCGGTTGCCTTGGCAGGGCCAGACCAAAGGATTACGGTCTGCAGGCTGGATGTTCCCCACCCCTGCACCAGACCAGAAGTTCTCTGAGAGCAAGAGTACTTCACTTTTTCAAATTCCCAAGCTATAGATAGGAATAGGTCATTCACATAACAGAGGTTCATTAAATATTTGCGTGGTGTGTGTTTTTTTTAAGATTTAATGATAATGAAGAAAGAGAAGAGAGAGGAGGAAGAGAAGGAAAGGGGAAACCTAAAAAGTGTGATTCATAACACTCAGAAAAATGGGAAAGTAGGACTCTAGCTGGTTACTTTGAAAAGGTGACAGAATATAGCGGTAAATTGGTCAAAACAGTCCAACCCGCTAAAGCAACAGTCATATTTTACTTGGGTATGTTTGTTCCACATACACTTTTCTGGAGCCCAGACTGAGTTTTCATACTTTAAACAGAGAAGCATAATGAAAACTCTGCAATCAATCCCTTAAACATGTCCTGAGCTCTGGAATGAGCAGACACTTAATTTTCCCTAACTTCAAGTGATTCATTCTGTCCTTTTAACACAGACTGCCTTAAACTACAAAATCTCATGTTGCTATTGATGACATTATTGCCAATTTTGAAGAAATTAACCAACACAGGTATTCGTTCTTTCTCATATTTAAAACATTTATTTTCCAGTAATTGTGATTCAAATCTTAAACTTAAGTTGTTACATGCAACAATCCTAGATATATTAGTGATGATAATACATTTAGAGGAAACAGCACAACAGAAAGCATTCGATTAGAGTGAAGAAATCTTTAGTTTTACACTGAGCATTGCCCCTATCTAACTGTTATGACTTAAGGTAAAGTCACTCAACCTCTTTGAATTAACTCTGTTGACAAGCTTGGGAGCAACTTGTTGAAAAGTCAAGGCTGCCACCTTTATGAAAGCTCTGGAGTCCACTAAACAGATACAGTCAAAGGAAAGTAAAAAACAAACAAACAAACCCCTCTGTACTCCCTACCATTGAAGAAGAGATTCACATCTTGTCGGGCCTCTATGGACCTTGGAACACCGTATCCCACATCCGGGTGTGGTGCCCTGCACGCTGTGAAGCGGAATCTCCTTGCGCATACCAAGAATGAGAGGAGGCTCTCACTGAAGCCGCAGCAGTGCTTTCTCCTTTGCTCTGTTTCCTCTCTATGTTTAGGCGCATTTGTTTATGTTGAGTATGTGAAGCCAGTTTCCTTCTAAGCACCCCTTATGGGGCACCTTCTCTACACTAAAGAGGCTACAAACTAAAGATAATATCTGTCAGACTTCTTCACAGTTGGGGTTCTGGATGTAAATTGGGTTGCAACAATTAATGCACACGTGTGAGATAGCAGGAACATTGAAGCGGAGGCTATTATTTTGTGCTTAGCTCTGCTGACAGACATAATTAATATATGGAGTTTTCTACGGCACTATCCCAAGGTCCATTCCATAGCTTTATGCCTGCTGAGTGGCAGTTATGGAGTGAGTACAGCTTCCCTACCAGTGTTCCGGATGCCAGTCACTAGTTTTACGGATACGGAGAGAAGTGTGTGGCAGGAGCCCCTCCTTCCCTGCTGGACTGTACCGTGTGCTCTGCAAATTATTTCCTGAAGCCCAGCTTAGACTTCCCTCCACCATTTTTTTCCAATGCTATAAACTCCTTAGTCCCTGTATTAAACTAATTTTGCCAACTCAAATTCATTTCTTTTTTTTGCATCTGAACCTGGTATGATATATAAATATTTTAATGCTAATACTAGTAAAACAGAAAGCAAAGGAAGGATGGGTGGGAGGGAGAGAGGGGCGCAGGAAGGAGGGTAGAAGGGAGAAGAGATAGAATACACTAGATTGAAAGGCAATAAAACTTCAGTCCTGGTTGCAGCACTACCACTAACTCATTAATGTGACTTTGCCAAGTCACTTAGACTCTCCAGACCTTAGTGTCTCAAAATGAAGGGTATATTTTCAGTTTTCCACAAGTTCTAAAATTCTATGCCTTGTCAAATTAATTAAAGTTAAATCATTAGCTGCACTGCCACAAGGTTTTTAAATCTAAGGCAAATGACCTGTTTTCCTTATAACAGAAAATACAAAAACCTGCATTTTTAAATTTTCTTGTGATTTCTCTCATATCTTAGTAGTTTCATTAAAAATCAAGAACCTGCAGTGCCACTTTGAATAAAGAATTAATTACTCATATGAACAACTTTACGAATTAGACAGCTTTTTCAATTTAAATCCTTAACAAAAGCTTTCTAGTCTTTTGGTTTTTTAAAAATTAAAGGTATGAGGTTAAAAAAAAAAAAAAGTTTTCTTGAAAGTCAATCATAGAAGCATTTTATTCAATATGAGTATTGTCCTAACTCAATACTCCTAACAGACAGTTAGGCACTATCTGCTCATAAACCATAAAATGTTTATGCAACTAAAGAGTGTTACCTGCTTACTAAAAATGCTTTAAAGTAATTCTGAAATGGTTTAATGTATTGAACAATAGAGTAGTCTGACATGGCATTTACCACTTTTTAATAACGCTATCATTTTCTTAGATGATGCAGAAACAATGATAGCTATTATAATAATTTAATAATAAAAAACAAATGATGATTAAGTTGTAATAGCCTGACCAATTTTCTGTGGTTTACAAAAACAGACTCAATAGTTGTCCCTAACACCTTTGAGTGCCTACATGTATGTTTCAAAAGATAGTGTTGCAGTGACTGCTAATTGGTTTTAATATCTCAGTTTTCATCTGGGCCGCTGATATCCAGAGGTGGCCATGTATCTGTAGATACTGGATATTAATACATAAAGGGAATTGTTATCTGATCACAATGTAAATTTTGGTGGCAAATTTGAGGGTATTTACTTCAAAAGGAGAGATGATACCCTTCCTTCCCGTCCCTCTGGTACCTGGCACTTGGGTGTGATGTCTGGACTCGCACGCTTAAACCAGGAGGATGCGGTCCGCGGGCCAGGGCTGCTAAGCGGCGAGCTGGTTGAAGCCCAGGTTCCTGGTAGCTTCACAGAGCCTCTATAGGAGGCCCTACACTGCCTACCTCTTTTGTGAGAAAGGGAGACATTTCTAGTTATTTTGAGTTTTATATGCAACTGACTCCACCCTTCACATAAGCATTTTTTCAAATTAGGAGGTCTTTTAGTTCTCATTAAATGTATGTATAAAATTTCTTAAAGAATCATGAAAAATCAATATTTTATATATACCATTAAATAATGTCCTTTGGGGGGAAAAAAACTATATAACAGTTTCTTTAAAATTTTTTGTGGATGTTATGATGTATGTGTAAATATACTGGCAGCAAAAAATAGTAAATGGAAATGCTAGGCATTGCAGGAAGTATATATCTCAACAAAGTCATCCAGTTCATTTTAATCATACATATTGAACACATAATTTAGAACTCATACTTAGAGTAAATAACTCTTTTTAAATTTTCTAATTGGAACCACTATAAAATTATGCCATTAATGAACATACAGAGCTAATTAATTACTGTACACTTAATTACAGATTTCTCAGCGGGAGTGGGGTAGAGGGGGTCAATGGGAGAAAAGGGGGGACATCTGTAATAGTCTTGACAATAAAGATAAATTAAAAATAAATAAATAAAATAATAAAAAGATTTCTCTGCTAACATGAAAGGGAAACTAAAGAAAGATCCACTTGAAAGAAAGTCAACACACAAACATTTTGAAATGATTTCTATTTAAGTACAACAGAATTCAAATTAAATATTTATTAACAGATTAGGTTATACATATAAAGACATCTTTTTAAAATATGGTGCCTAGAAATGATTTTTTTAAGCATAAATAACGGAATTAACACTTACTCTGTGCCAGGCAGCATATATACTTTTTTCATAACCCTTAAAATATCCTGTCAAATAGATCCTATTATAATCTTATTTTAAAGATGAAGAATCTGGGGCTCAGTTCTCAAGTTCTCTGAAGGAGTGAAGTGGGGAGAAGATGGAAGAGCCGGCAGAGCTCCTATGTATCTTCCTGGAAAAGGTGAACTCTTAATCATCAGGCTATACTACCAACAAAGACAATAATAACAAGATTTAGTATATATTTTTTTCCCTTTATGCCTTCCCCACCTCTAAGATCATCTTGCACTTAGCTAACAGATAAAAAGTAACTGTAATCACAACTATAATAGGAATTTAGCTTTAATGAATTTAAAGTTTCCATTAAGTAAGGATTCTTAAAAATCTATGATTTGTGAGTTTGCTTAAGTATATATTTGCATTACCCATTGTTAGGATGTTGGCATCTGCATTTCAACTCAAACTGGTTATTAGCTACTTGCCTCTGCATTTGCACTAACACTGTAACTATTACAACTGTATTTCCTGGAGAAATATAAGCTCAAAGAGAAACCCATTAGTGCTGATGGAAGTGAAAAGGTCTAAGAAAACTGTCATTCTTAAGTAGAAAATATAAGTTAGATAATGGGTAGGATGTTGAATTGAGCAGGGGCTCTCTGACCTTTAATTGAATAGGTTCATTTTCTGTCTTATATAGAAACAAGAAAAGGAAATTTATCAAAATGTTTCAGGAAGTGTTCTAGCCAGTGCAAAAAAATAACTTTTATGCGAGAAATTATATGCTATGATGGAGATCAGTGAAACTTGATTTTATAACCATTTTAGCTGCCCAAAGCACATTAAATTTTGTTTTCTTAAATTGTGACTGATGTCAGTAGGTTTCCTGAATATTCCACAAATTGGGGTTCTAAGTTTAGGATTTAATTTTTAAACTCTGTATTTTTATGGAAATAATAATATACATCCTTTCTGCATGTTTCTAGTGAACTGGAACTTACTGTATAAGCAATTCAGTACTTTAAAAAGGCATGGCTTTTTTTTTAAATTAAATCAGAAGCGAGACCTTTACTAGTTATCATGTTCATATTAGAAAATCTGCCTCTGTGTTGAAACAGTCTTATATGAGAAATATTCAGAGATTTCTAGGTGTGGCAGTTCTTCTAATATTATTTAATGTATTTGTTCTGTTTACATCTCTGTTTAATTTCTTTTATGATGTAACAATACGATCACATAGTGATCTGAAGCACCGTTACCACTTTGAGGACAGTGTTGGTTATACTGATATTATCAACTTTCTAACTTGAATCAAACAACCGAGTCTAGAACCATTTAAATCAAATACTATTGTTCTAAATGACCACCAATAATAAAACACTTATTCATACAATGTTATAGAAAATGTTCAAGATAAAATTCTCAATATCTTTATAACACAGATATCTGTCTACTCATGGGTTTTTCCTATAGGTTACTGTTAAATGCAGAAAGTTGATTTTACCACATTTCACAAATTATATAGGCCACAGTAAGCTCTCCACCAGGCATCCAAAGAAAATTGTAACTTTGAAACATGCATCATTTATAAAAGAATATGGCCAAGAGAGTAAAGATTACAAACTCAAGAAGTGAATGATTAACCCAGCTCTATCATAACCACGAACTGACAGACAGAAAATATCTTGAGCATCCTTTATTGATGAGAAACTATCAACCATATTTAGCTTTTCTGTTTTTAAAATCTTAATTGAGTAAGTTGAGCATTAGTACTATTCTTATATCATTTAATTACCAATAGATGTTCTGATAATATTTGGAGTTCTCTTTTATACTGTGAAAACTTAGCATGTTCTACAAGATGCTCCTTTCTCCTTGTTGAGATTATATCTAAGTTTCTGTTACTTTCTATTTTTTCCAAATTTTAGATTTCTAATTCAAACGTCCATAAAACCTAAAAGTATAACAAAAAGTAGATCACAAAGACAACCATGTAATATTTCCAGTTCCCTATAACTATGTGGAATATTCCTAAACTAATTCTCTAATACTGATACACTTTGCATAAACATACAGAAGAATTCCCCAAATAATAATCTAGTCTCAATTTTTTTACCCAAATATCACTCTTTTTACTTTTTAAATTTTTAATAGGAACATGGTTTTTAATAGTAATAACTAAGACTTACTACATAGTCAATACAATTCTAAGTACGTTAAGCATATTAACTCAGTGAACTAAATTAGCAGAATTTAGCAACTGAGTGAGTGAATTCTCACCACAAACATAAAGAAAGCATTACTGTCCTCATCATCATTATTAGATGGGTAAACAGAGGCAAAGAAACCTTACCTAAGTTGACTAAAGTCAGACAGGTTTATGTAGTGAAATTCATATTTGAATACTGGAATCATAGTTTGGATTCTTGTGCTAACTGCTACTCTTAATTTTACAATAAGAAAATAGAAACTCAATCATAAAAAGAGGCAACTGACAGTGAACCACAGGGGACTACAGAACACTGAAGAAAACATAATTCATTGAAAGGGGCAGCAGGTAAGTAGCTCTAGCGAACTGTTGTATAGAAATATTGTCATTTTACACTATTTACAAGCTAATAAGCTAGCCAGTTAGTATTTCATGCTTCTGGCAAATACAATAAGATTTCTGGGTCAGAGACAAATGATTTTATTACTCAAGGCACAGCATAATTATCAACACAGTTTTGTCAGTTCCCCTTCCGTGTCTCATTAGGTTGTGTCCTGGCCCAGATTTAACACGTGTGGTTTCTAAATGGTCCATGCATAACTACTTATACAAAAGGAAGCAATTCAGTCATTAAAGATCTCTACTTTATGCTCCTATAATTGCATAGATTAAGTGACATTTTCCAGAGAGTCATGCCTTATAAATCAATAAATTTCAGGCTTATTTACGATTAGCAACCCTGGAGGATCAGGTAGATCCTGCTATAGCAGCTCTCCAAAGCTGAGGACTCTGTCACTGGAAAATGCCACTAGTGGGATTGCAATGATGTTCATTATTAACATGTTTACATTTAGAAGAAAAATCATATATTCATGTTAATAAGTGCAAAAAAAAAAAACATGTGACAAAACCCAATATCCATTCATGATAAAAACTCTCAGCATACTAGAAATAAATAGGAAATTCCTCAACTTGATAAAGAACATCTACAAAAATATCTACAGCTAACTTCATACTTAATGGAGAGAAAGCAAAACTTTTTCCCTAACATCAGGAACAAGAGATGAATGTTTCTACTCACCACTCTTATTCAATGTTGTACTGGAAGTTATAGCTAATGCAATAAAAAAGAAAGGCAAGTAAAAGAATATTGATTGGGATAAAGGAAATAAAAATTATCTTTGTTAGACATAATTATTGATGTAAAAAATCCCAAAGAATCAACAAAAAAATCTTCTGAAACTAATAAGTAATTATATAGCAAAGTTGCAGATACAAAATTTAAATTAACAACCTATTGCTTTCTTATATATAAGAAGTGGACAACTGAACTAAAAATTAAAAACATAATGCTATTTACAATTACCCCCCAAAATGAACTACTTAGATATAAGTCTAATAATGTACAAGATCTATACAAACAAAATTCTGATGAAAGAAGTCAAAGCTGATAATAAATATATGAAGAAGTATTCCAAGTTAATGGACACAGGCACTTAATATTATTAAAATGTTAATTTTTCAAAAATGGTCTATAGATTGAGTGTATTTGCAATCAAAATCTGAGAAAGTTATTTTGTGGATATTGGAAAACTAATCCTAAAGTTTATATGGAAGAGCAAAAGACTCAGAGTAGCCTCTAGAATACAGAAGAACAAAGTCAGAGACCAACACTACCAGACTTTAAGACTAACTATAATTGTCAAAGAGATGCAAATTAAACCACGATGAGATATCACCTCACAGCTCTCAGAATGGTACCACCAGTAAATTCAATGACAAGTGCTGGTGAGGCTGTGGAGAAAAGGAAACTCTCGTGCACTGTTGGTGGGAATACAGATTGGTGCAGCCACTATGAAAAACAATATGGAGTTTTTCAAATTAAAAATGGATCTGCCTTATGACCCAGTGATTCCACCACTGGGGATTTACCTGAAGAAACCCAAAATACAAATTCAAAAGAATATATGCACCCCTAGGTTCACTGCAGCATTTTTATGATAGCCAAGCTATGGAAGCAGCCCAAGTGCCCATCAATAGACGAGTGAATAAAAAAGTGGTGGTACATGTATACGATAAAATACTACTTGGCTATTAAAAAAGAATGAAATCTTATCATGGATGGACCTAGATTATGCTCAGTGAAATAAATAAGTCAGAGAAAGACAAATACCATATGATTTCACTTATATGTGGAATCTAAAGAACAAAATAAAAGAACAAACAAAATTGAAACAGACTCATAGACTTGGAGAGTGAAATGGTGGTTGGCAGAGGGGAGGGGGCCTGGGGGACTAGGTGAAAGATGTGAAGGAATTAAGAAGCACAAATTGGTAGTTACAAAATAGTCACAGAGATGTCAGCAAAGCATAGGGAATATAATCAATAATATTGTGATGACTATGCATGGTGTCAGTTGGGGTACTGGAAATATCTGAGGGAACACTACGTAAAGTGTATGATTGTATAACCACTAAGCTGTACACCTGAAAGAAATACAAAATAAAATTGAAAGAAAAAGAAGGAATGAGGTGAGGAACCACTGTATGTTGAATTAAATGCTATTTTCTGACTAGTATTTTTTTTTTTTTTTTTTGGTTATTCCTCACTCGAGGATACTTTTTCCATTGATTTTTAGAGAGTGGAAGGGAGGGAGGAGGGAAAGGGAAACATTGATGTGAGAGAGACACATCCATTGGTCATGCTCCCCGGCCTGGCTGGGGATGAACCAGCAACCCAGGTATGTGCCCTTGACTGGGAATGGCACCCATGACCCTTTGGTCCAAGAGCCGATGCTCCAACCACTGAGCAACACCAGCCAAGGAAGAATAGCTGTATTTTTTTAAATAATGCAAACCCTTGATCCCTTCTTAAAAATAAAAAATAAATTAATATTGTAAGTGTATCAAAAAAAGACTATAATGATAGTGATCAAGAAAACGTGATATTGGCAAAATAACAGATCAATGGAACAGAAGAACAGAGAGCACCAAAATTGACCCACAAATAGAAACTACTGATCTTTGGCAAAGGAGCAAAGACAATGCAATGGAAAAAGGTTAGTCTTTTCAACAAATGATTCTGAAACAAGTAGACATCCACATACAAAAAACAAAAGCAATCTAGACAAAGGCCATATATCTTTTCTAAATATTAACTTGAAATGGATAACAGACATTAATGTAAAAAACAAAAAACTATACAACTTCTAAGAGATAATAAAAGAGTAAAAGCTAGGTGATCATGCATTTGGCAATGATTTTAGATACACCAACAGCATGATCCATGAGAAAAAAAAATCGGTAAGTACTCTGTAGTTACAGTGCAATTTTTCTGTAAACCTAAACCTGCTCTAAAATAATAAAATCCATATATTTTTTAAAGCAAGGAGAATAGTCTGGCTGACAGTATATAACATACACAATGAAGAATAGTATCAGGTCAAACAATATGAAATTGCCAATATTTAATCACCGCTGACCTACAGAATTTGTAATTTAGTATGTTTCAACCTGAATTGTTTATGAAGCCAGAGATCAAACTGTTTGGGGGAAAGAATGGAAGAACACGAGTGTCATTTATTTCAGGTAACAGTCCTCACAGGTGCTGATGACAAAATAAAAGTCCATGGGGTGCTCCCATGTCATGGATGTAGGGCCTTGTCTGAAAATCATTCCTGTTAGATAATTTAAGGTTTTCTTCTCCTTACGAGATCTGTGCTTCCTCAAAGATGGTATTTTTCTTTCCTTTCCCTTCCTTTCCCTTCCCTTCCCTCTCACTCCCCTCCCTCCCTCTCTTCCTTCCTTCTTTCCTTTCTTCCTTGCCTTTATCATATCAAAGGCATCAGGCTCCGATCTGTTTTCCATTCATATTCGGACCCACCCTTAGGACACTGAAAGTTGATTAGAAGTTCTCTGGGTATAGCTGGGGCCTGTCAACCTAACTTGTGAACTTGTGTCCAGGATGATGTGGTTCAGCTATTTCCTTAGCCAAACCTTGATGTCAGTACCTTTAATTTGGTTTTGTTTTTGCTGCTTCTTTAGTATTAACCTGTTATTCAAGAAAATAATTTTCCAATTTCCTGCCTAAAAGTTAGAAACCTGGATGCCAACCTTCTAGAAGTAAGCTGGGAGAAGGCTGGTAGTCTCAAGATGCAGAAAGTATTTATTCACTTACTCCCCTCTCCTTTTTTTGTACAACTCCTCCCCCTTTTAATTTTGATGCTAAATTCACTGGTTAACAAATATTTTTATTTCTTCAATGATTTTAAGTCATGATAGGAAATCATTTTTCAGTTAGCTAAGATTGTTTTTTCCCCATTAGATGAAATATATCAGAGTGGTAAATACATTGCACCTAGCTTTATAAACTGATATTTACTTTTCCTCTAAAATTATTTTATATAACTAATTTTCCAAATGGAAATTTTTATTTTTCCTTAAATTACATACTTAACATTTTAATATGCTTTCTAACTTAAGTCCAGAAAAAAAGAGTAAAAATGAAAGTATGTGCACAGAACCTTAAGATTCTCAGCCTTTTTCTTCCACCTGTTTATGAGGAGAGTGAGAAGGATTTGGGGATGAGTCTGCCTCTTAAAAAAATTAGTAGTGACAAAGTCAAATTAATAAGGGATCTTTTGAATATAGTATAACATGTATATCACAGGTAAATAAAAAAAACTGGTATATGTTCTGAAATTACTTTTTACTAAACCATTATCTTTTTAATTATACACTGTATTTTTAATCCCCCAATTCAGTTGTGAACACCTAGAAGTTTATCTTCTCATAAATTCTACAGAATACCAAGCTTAATTGTTTCTGTGCTATATTTGTTTAATAAAAGAATAAATTTAGAGAGCATATTAAAGAATTAAATTAGCCCCAAATTTTATGATCTTGCAATCTTCATATGATATGCATATAACCATTAAGTTGTTCAAGTTAGCAATCTACTACTACTGGGTTTAACTTGTAACCTTTTGAAATATTAGGATATAATTTGAGCAAATATTCATTTAACACCAAATGAGGAAAATCTCTAATAAATTTCTAAAAGTTAGTTTAGCCAAAATATTGAAATTAAGTATTTTGAAAATCTGCTTGTCTATCTGCTATTTGTACCCAGTTATTAAGTAGATTATATAAAATATCATTAGAATTATAAATATTCATAAAGATAGTAAAAATAAGTTTATTAAGGTAAGGGCACATTAAGAAAATAAATGTATAAAGAGAAAAATGCTAGATTTCTAATAAAAATAAAACAATTCAGTTTCTCTTGAAAATTACAATGATGCCAATGTTTTTCATAAGACAATATAAGGTCTTATTTATAGCTAAGAGATATCAGATTATTTAAGGATGAAGGCCATATATGTCTCTGATGTTTCAGCAGTCAACTAAAATGACTGAATATACACAAATGAAGAGAGTAATATTCTTATGAATAGTGCAGAAAATAAGGATTTAATATTACAGAATAAACTGGCATCACACTTACTAATTCAACAAATAATCATTAGCTATTATAGTGCACAAAAAGTAATTTAAGATCTTTCACTCTGGACAGAGATCAGAAAGGGGTGTGCATGTGTGTGTGTGTGTATGTGTGTGTGTGTGCGTGTGTGTGTGACATTTAGAGATTGATAAGAAATAAATCATCAAGCTTATCAATCCATCTATTTCTACTACAGAAATAAAACACAGCTTTGAAGCCTGGCTGCTTATTCATGTAACACTGAGCTCTATACTTTACTCTCAACAGAAACTAAATAAATAGCTTTCACACACAACTGTGTATGCTGTCTGATACTGGTTTTACTTTTCTCGTCAGCATTTTGGCCACCTCAAAGGAAGTAATAGAAGACTGAGAGCAAAGCTTCTGAGAATTTTAAATAAATGACATGAAATTCTTTGTATTCATAAAAAGCTATATTCCCATCTTTACTATTGAGAAACTGATAAATATTTTGATAAAATATAAAGCAGTATGTGTCACACATAGAAAAACATCCTATTTAACACTGCTGTTTATATATGAAAAAGAACATTTAGGAGATTTATTTCTCTCCCCTCCTCTCTCTCAAATGTAAACGTTTATTATTGCAAG